AAAAAAAAAAAAAAAATTTAGTTTCTTTACTGAGTTTAGATTAAAAAAAATCGTAGATTTTTCAATAGGCAAACAACTAGATAGACTGGTTGCTGATCGGTTATTAAAGTTATTGCTAATTCTCAACCAAATCATCAGATAATTTAAAAGCAAACATATGCATACACAGACACACCTATATGTACATGCATTTCATCATTTGATGATGAAATTTGTTTTTAATATTTTTCAATTTTCATTACATGCCGTTGATTGTTTATATCTACATATATATATATATATATATTTCTATATATTATTTGTCTAAAGAGTTATACTATGTTGTTGTTGAATTATGATTTTAGTGTGCATAATTAAAAATAATTTTTTTTTTTGTATAATAATGAGTGAGTGATAAGTGATGAATGATAATTCATCGAATGAATTTGTTTCATACGCAAAATTCTATTTCGTTTCTTACGCCTTTTGTCTGTCATCGTGAATCGCAATTGTATGCATATACGCGTATTTATATTCTTGTACCGATATACGTATGCATGAATGAAAATAGAATTTGCTTTTAAAATGAAGAATTAATGAATTTTATTAGATGTAGACAACAATCTAGATTTTGCAACAGGTTGGTATCACATGTCATGGGCAATGAAATGAACTTTGAAATCATAGCAGACAAAGCAGCTAATCAAACCAATTGTGCTAGAAACGTAAACAATTAAACAAGTTTTTCTTTTAAATTCTTTTAAATGAATAGTCGATTATTATATCGTAATATTAAATTTAACAAAAAACTTATGCGCTTGTCTTGAGGCCAACATTGGCCATTGTCGAGACTAATATGAAAATATCCATTGGATGCTGCAAACTGATTAAATCAAAAAAAAATCATATCACTTCTTATAAATCCTTTGCATCACGCATACCTTCCATATTAGTTTTTTTTTTTTTTTTTGTAATAATTTATTAAATATTATATAATAAGTAAGGCCGAGATTCGAGCGGAGCGTTTTAATCGCTTTTACAAACTTGTGGGCAATATTTGTTTTTAACATAGATCGAAGATCGATTTACTCAATATATCGTAGATATAGCATATCGTACATATTGTATTCTGTATTTATATTAAATTATATTCTTATATGACTTGAAAATATAATATTTCGTCGTGATGCGTTCATAATCTAAATATGAATTAATATGAATTTTTTTTTTTTTTTTTTTGCTAATTGCGAGCGAATTCGTTGACAATCAAGTATGTTTTTACGAAAAATATCATAGACAGACAGTTGGCAGACAGACAGACAGATAGACAGACAGACAAATAAACAGATATACGAATGGACCAGTCTAAATTGATTCCTCTATTAACTCCAATCACGAAGACACGGTATAAAGAGAAAGTTTTAAGTGCGTTCTTAGAAAAATCTTCGCAGTAAGTTTGAACATCAACGAACAAACAACAAATATTTTCGTATACATGTCTACACGACATATATATATATATATATTTAAACATTACTTTCATGTATGTATGTATATATATATATATATATATATATATATATATATATATAAATCTGAAGACATTGCCTTGAGCCTTGAAAACGCCGAAATTCATCTATTTATTGCGTTCAATTCGCATTCGAATTTTATTTCATATTCAAGTAGGTAGGGCTTAGGACTTTTTATTCTACTTAATATTTAACATATTCATTATATAAATTTCAATCTTCTGGTGATGTTGATTTCAAATGTAACATAAACAATATAACCTAAATGACTGTTTTGTTAATGCAAAAATTTGATCGACGTATATAAATTAGACATACAAAGATATTGGACTGTACGAAAAGTTATGTCGCTCAAAATGAAACATTATTTTCGTACAGTTTATAATCAATGGTTCGAATTCGATTAATTTAATATCTCGGCGATGGCACGATTGAGCTCCATCCAGAGCACCAAAGCATCATGAAACGAAATGAAATGAAATGAAACGAAATGATATGATATGAAATGTGATAAAATTTTGCAAACTAGTACATCTTTTGCATCTTCGATTTTCTATATTTGATAGGGCATCGTACTTACTTACTACAACTATCGCGTAGAAGTAAACCGATCTCTGCTTGATTCCTCAATAGTCAAAATATGTAATGGTAGTGAGGCATAAATGCAAAAATTGCGCCTCCTTTGTGAGAGGAGGGGGGGGGGGACGAAATGACTTTCCGAATAGCATAATACTACTGGATGATAAACACTGCCATAGTATCTAGATATATAGAAGATTTTGAAATTTTTACTAATTCTTCTCGAATTATAAATCGATTTATCTGCCGTTTACACATAATTTGCTCAAGGGGGATTGGAAAGACCTTGGAAATTGAGTTGATTATCTTTTTTTTGCCTAGAGTTTTGTAATCGAAAGAGAGGCAGACATGTTTCCAATTCTTGATGTGTATCTATGTTGTATGCGTAGTATAAGCATTTAATAAACTTAATATTATCTTTGCGGATACCCTTACGCATTTTCCACTATAGACTTTCGTAGTCCAGATGCATTTTAAGAGGATTGCACTCATATGCACAGCAAGATCCTTTTATAGAATTTGAATTTGAGGCTTTAACGATGTAGATGATCAACTTTGTGTGTTTCTGTTGTTCTAATAAAATTGTTATAATAAATTTAGGAAATCTATAATGCGTCTATCTATGTGAATAATGTTAATAAGAGGTTATATTTATTTTGTGTAAAAAGTAACCGGAAATAGTTTTATAAAAAAAAAAAAAAAAATTGTTTATTCATTAACATTTAACAGGAAGACTCATCGCTTACAGTATAATTACTAATACGCTAACATTTGTCTCAATCGCTTAAACAGTATTTATCGACTGATTTCTGGTTTCTCCTTCAAAATCTTCATTAACTTTTTTTTATTGTATATCTTCAATTAGCTGAATACGCCTTCTTTCAAGTGTAATAATTTGAGGTTTGGAAAAACTTACAAGGCCTTATATCAGGAAAGCATGACCGATTTTTGCAAAAAAAAAAAAAAAAAAAAATGCTTAATAAATAATAATCGCCTTATACGCGGATAGATTATTATGATATCCAAAATACTAGTTAGGATGTTATGAACGAACTTACAATGTGCGTTGTTCACCTTTTCGAACGAATTCTTTCGATCCTTCGCACACTCAAAACATTATTTGCAATAATAGCAGCTTTAAATAATTGCAAGCGATGAATGGCTTGGAATTCTACAATAACGGAGTAAAGTGCTATTAGACTTGGAAAAAATATGACAAATTTTTGATGATTGCGATAATTATGAAAATAGTTTTCTGTATGTGGCCGTGTCAGTGGTTTGCAATTTTTTTTTTGATTTTTCAATTTTTTTTTTTTTTTTTTTTTTTTTTTTTATAATGACCCTTCAAATTAAGTTACAAATTTTTGTATATATCGTGTGGGTAATCTGAGATCGAAGATCGAAGAACGGTCAATTTTGGGGCTTGTTCATGAGCACGTAGCAATGAATTTTCAAGTCGTTTCGATTATATAATTTTCAAACTTTAGATTCGTATCTGTTATGATCTGAAGATATCAATTTTTCACCTTTTTTTTGTAGTTGAAGTGTAGTGACGGATCTTAAATTGTGAATTTGAACCATCCCTACCGAGCTATATGCCAAATGTTAGTTTTTCAATTTATTTTCCAAACG